ACCAGAAAGAAAATCGTGGGATTCAAAGTGATTAAAAATGATATGTTGTAAGGCGAAGTAAAATCATTAATGCATCCATTACCCGAGCTTTCTGAAAAAGTATTGTAAAACATATAAAAAACTGCTTATCAATTGTGTAATATATCGGAATCATTCGTAACTTGCGGTCGTTCCTGTTAGTTTTACATAGAGTTTAAATGATTGTAATTATGGTAAATTCTGTATATAATACAGAGTTATACTAAGTTTTTTTTATATAGTATGTTCAAATACTGTATAATTTGGTTTAAATTACATCATTTTTCTTTGTTTCTTAGTAATAATGATTTTTTATATTATCAATACAATAATATTAAACGAATTAATACGGAGATTAGATCTAAATTACCGAAAATTAGTCATAATTTATTTAAACATTGATAATATATTTGAATACTTTAATGGCGATACTACCATATTTAATAAAATGCCGAAGAGTATAAAGCTTTGAAAATAAAAAAACTAGGTTATATCCACAGTTTATGGTAGGGATGTAGTCTAGAATGATAAAGCTGAAGCCTCTTAAGATCAGTTTGGACCAAATTCTTTAAGACAATAGATATAATAGAGGCGTTATATATATATATATATATATATACAAAATTTAGCAAGGTATTTTTTTTTTTTTTTTTTTGTTAGAATATTGAAGGCAGTTTCATAAGCGAAATTTTGATATCTGGATACTGTATAGTATTTTTAATAACTTGTTACACAAATTGATTTACACGTTACACCTGATCCTGCAAATTTATTGGATACTCATTAATAATATTTCATCACCAATAATTTAAATATAAAGCATCCTATATTGGTCAAACAAGAGTTTTACATATCTGATATCTGATATATACGTACACGTAGTGATGGGACTACAGATGCTAAAAATTCAATTGTCACATGCCGTGATCTATTAAAAAAAATTCGATTCTTTATAAATTATTGAATGCGATAATTAAGTATCACCTATTTTTAGCATCTGTAGTCCCATCACTACGTACACGTATACGCAGATATGAATTAGGTACAGTACACTCTTAAGCGTTAATAATTTAATAATTTAATGATTATCATCATCAATCTTTTTCTTTTAATAAAATCGGATAAAATAAGCTCCGCATAGCCAAAAATTCAATTTTATTGTTATTTTAATATAGGGATATACATTTGTGAATACAGTACGTACAAGTTTTTTTTTTATTTTTGCTTTTAGAAAATTCTTAATGACATGTATAAATAATTTAATATTATTTACAGTTATAAGAAATCAGATACATTTAAAGTTTTGTAATATTTTACACAGATTTTCAAAAAAATGTTGTACTAAAGAAAATTTTGTCATAATTTTTGAAACATAAACAATATTTTATAAGAAGAATAAAGGACGAGACTAAAAATTTTTTAATATGAAAAAATAAAAGGTGCGAACTTTGTCTTTTGATGCAAAATTTTAAATGAATAATATATGATTTTTTAACAAAGTCACGTGAAAATTTATAAACAATTTTTATATCTTTTTACAAATATTTTTTAATATTTTGGTTGAATACCGACGTCTGGCGTTATATTCATGAGTTTTTCGAACTCGGATAAAAATCGATACCTTCGACCATTGCCGTGGATACTGAAAAAGCGGAAACGGAAGAAGGTGCTGTAATTTGTGGAGGAGGAGCTGGAGCATATATAGCAAGAACTTGGCTAACAAGGATTTTGTAAGCATTCATTTCATCCGGACTTATAGAGCATACAATTAATTCCCTTACTCTAGTGATGGCATGGTTACAAAAATTCCCATGACGCTGTGCTCTAAACCGAATAATACATTCAATTATTGTTTCTAAAGTAGGCACAATGTCATTATTTTTAAGGTACTCTGTTATAAGTGTTGGAGTGTAATAAGTTGGAGAGATAATTTCTCTGATTATTTCGTTTAAAAACGTTACTTGAAAGTAAAACTCCATGTTTTAAAGTAATGAACACTAAGCTCATGGCACATATATATATATATATATAAATATATTGGCAAAGCCTTATGCATGAAACTTTATTGGCTTTACGTTGGTTGCTATTATCCGCTGCTGCTGCTATCCTTATTTGTAATTGAGGGCGTCATTTAAACAAAATATTTCAAACTAAATTATCTTTAGATGGTTATAACAAGTTTTCTTATGCAAATATACTGATCATACGTATATTTCTTTGTTAAACTACAGTAGATTCGCGATATTTGTATTTTATCAGTTATATGATATACTGGTTTTCTTTTTTTAGTTCAAATATTTATCATTATTTGTCTTACAATTGATTTACTATTTAATTTAACTAAATTTTAAACGCAGTTAAACTGGTCGAACTAGTAATATAGTATTTTGAAAACATTATAAGTTGTTGACCACAAAATTATATATCACAATTTCATATATAAACCGTTCAAAACTCTTTGACTAAACAATAGTGATAATATCTAAAATTTTTGAATGTTTTCAGCATGCAAATTCTAGCAATATGATTAGTTGACATAATTTTTATAATAGATAACAAAATTTAGCATGCGTAGAAGATCACTAAGCATATATTAATTTTTTTAATATTCATATAATTATATCAATGTAACGTTATGTCAAAAATAATAAAATTTTAGTTAAATAAATAAAATTTATTTGTAACTTAAAATTTTCTTATATTTATACTTGAAAATTATTTAATTTAGTAATATTTTGTTATTTTATAATTTATTTGAAACAACTTTCTTTTTTATGCCCATTAAAAAAAAAAAAAACGTTTGCTTATTTTTGCATCAAGTATTCAAGTAATACAAAAAAAAAAACACGCGTCTACTGTTAAATGGTTTGGATCATCCATTTATTAGTCTGTCCTATTTTAATTATTTCAATCAAAAAAATATCGTCAGATTTTAATACTATTTAAGCTAGAATAATTATTACTAAATCACGAGGGTAGTACTAGGAAACTGTTTCCAATCCTGCAATCGTTGAACCTCTGCATAGATGATAAACGATACCGCATGGCATGTAGTAATTTTAAAGTTAATTTCAAAGTTTTCAAAGGTTTCAAAGTTTTTGTTTTACATTTTTACTAACACATTAAAAATGAATTTAAACGGGAATTTTGGTATGACTTTGCGTGTCATATCGGAAAAAGTTATTCCATTTAGAAAAAGGTATCCATTAAAATTTAACCTTATTTAGATAAGTTTATTGTTGCTTATCGTTTTGTCATCCTTAAAAAAACTATAACTGAGGATCATCATAGTGATGTGTTTTTCTATCATTTTGTAAATCCGAAATTTTCATTGAAAAATTTGAAAAACGTTCGTATCTTTTTAAAAGGAGGTCATTATTTAATTAATATCACCATAATAAATTAAGTAGTCTAACTAAACATAGTAGCTTTAATCTGATGTTTAAATGGTTACATTGCATATTTATACGGAAAATCAATAAAATTAAAAAATCTGTATTTCAGAATTTTTATTGGTTATTTCTTGTCGATCAATTTGAATTACCAATCAAAATTATAGATTTAAAAAAAACGTGTGTTTTGTACTAACTTCATCGGGAAAAGTCTTTGGATTATGACTTTACCATTTTTGGTTTAATTAACAATTTAAACTAAATTAGTATTTACATATTAAATACAGAAGGCTAGTGTGGTACTCTGATGTACGTACGTAAATTTTAAAGTATGCCTTTTGCAAAAATCCTTCTAAGTTGCTAAGCCATTTTTTTTTCGCTTAATACTAGAATGTATAGAAATGTGAGCATTTCTTTAATAAAGAGTGAAGAGACTCATTTTTTATCATGAAGTAGTTCAACTATCATTGATACCTGATATACTCATCCCAAGTAACGGCTGGAGCTAAGCTGCTTTCCCAACCAGTCGTTATACTGGACACTAACAAGGATAAAAGATAGTTAGAATTGTGCTGTATTATTTATATAATTATATTGATTAGAAAATAATAGATCAAGTTAGGAATATAGAACTAAAATCTTTGGAAATTTGAGTAATATAGATTTATTATTTAGTAATATATATTATTAAATGATGTAATATTATTGTATGAATCGACCAAGGACCTGATTTTATAATAATTTTAATTTTTGATATTCAATAATAACTGCTGGGTCTGTTTTAATAGCGTTTAATTCAAAAGATGTAATATTTAATGTATCTCAAGTCGGAGCTCTACTAAATGCTACACAAGCTTGACCACATGCAATTATTTGATCGTCAACGGATATTGAAACATGAGGAATTGTTAGTCCTTGTGCTTTGTGCACTGTTAGTGCAAAAGCATTTTGTAGAAGAAATTGATATCGACTTGCAGGTGCACCATTTAGAAGAAAATGTTTTGTATTTTTTTTTTATAGTTGCGGTGATGATTGTTTTTTGTGTTGTTAGAAATGTGACTTTTACAGTACTTTAATCTATGATATTAGTAATAACGCCAATAGACTCATTACAAAGTCCACGATCAAAAGATTGTCCAGATACATAACACATGCACCTTGTTGTAAAATTAAGGTTGAAGGTAAATTCGTCTGATGGCGGAAGGTATAATTGTTTTCAGATGGGTTATTTTCTTGATTAATGATGTGATCGATTGCTATAGATATAGTTCTTCGGGTCCTAAAGGTAAGGATGAACCAGTGATCATCACATCATGTGAAATCATGTAATTACGTCATTTGTTTACTAGCACTAAACAAATTAGCCTAAACTATACTATCACCTAACCCTACCACTAACCCTAACGTAGGCCGAATTTTTAATCATGTGATGTGATTATCATGAAAGATATCACTGGGTTCCTTGATCTTCAAACTTCCCGAACAGGCTAGCTTGTTTATTTTATCAGCTATAGTGGAAATCCAATAATATGTGTGGTATCAGTTGCAAGACGTAGCGTGAGATTTCTTACTTTTTCTTCAATCGTTTGTAATGTAGTAGATGATAAATATCTTCTAATATTCGGAGCACTTCAAGAACACTAAACTCAGTGATCTCAGTGATCATCACATCATGTGAAATTATGCAGTGACGTTATTTGTTTACTAGCATTAATAAATCGACCTAAACTATATTAATAACCTAACACTAACACTAACCCTAATTTGGGCCGAGTGTTTAATCATGTGATGTGATGATCACGAAAATATCACTGAGTTCAGTATTCTTGAAACTACTCTAATTTTCTATAGAAGTTAGTATTATGATTTTGTCTGTGTGTGAGTGGTATAATTAGTTGTAATTTTGAGGATTTAGAGTGAATATGTAGTAAATCAGATTTAGATGAGTTGATAGTTAAATTGTTAAGTTCATAGAGT